ACATTCTGAACACCCTGAATATGTGTTACCATGTCCTATTATTTAATCGAAATCCAGGAGTGTCAGTGGAGAATTGCTAACAATTCTATGTCTGCCAAAGGAAAACTCTGGCAAGATTAGGTTATCTAAAAGAAATGCTGAACATGAAGAAAAGGAAACACTATTTCCGCCCGAGATCGAACAGAGGACCATGCTCTTGTAAGGCGCATGGGATAAAAATTACACAACTGCTGCCATTGTTCCTTCTCAATATCCATCTTTGATACCCTGGTACTGTTATGGGGTTTCGTGCAAAAAAAAAAAATTCCGCATTAGTGAATGTTGGAGTCACGTGTTTCGCACCTGGATTCAATATCCAATTCTGTCACGTGAGCAAAACAGTCAGTCACGGATTGGACTTGAAGGATAGGAAAGGAAGAGTACATCATAGCGGATTTGAAGGGAAACTCTGGTACATGCAAATAAAGGATCAGTCTTCACACCATTTGGAGAGCTTTTTAGAAAGGTAAACTCGCAAAACTTGTAAGTTGCTTCAGTTACAGGATCGGTAGAAGGTAATTGGTTGACGTTTGTAGGTGATGATAGATATGAATTAGTTTTCACCTCTTACATGATAGGAAAACATGTGCTTCATGTACTACATCCTCGTGTACAACTTCAGTACTAATTTGGGAAAAGTCTCCAGTTTCCTCAATTTGAGCTCAACTATCCTGATGCTCCGAAAACCCTGACGAAGAATGAGAGCTAGAGAGAACAAAGAGACATTAAAGGATGTTGGAATGCTCTTGGTATGCAGAGGGTCAAAGTGAAGGTCGACAGCTTTTATCATTCGGAGGTCGTATGCAACAATTGCTTTCTTTGTAGAGGAAGAAAAAAAAACCGGTTTTATTTACTTTTAAGCTATACCATGAAAGAGATCCAAAATACGTAGTGCCATGGCGGCTCGTATCCTATACTTCGGTCTTCTCTTCATTTCCGATTTCGCACAGTTTGCTTCCACGTTCGGGCTGGGGCGTGCTACTTCTGCACCTTCTGATGTAAGATTTCTATTTTTGCCTTCATCGCCCTTCCCAAACTATAATTTTCGTTGCGAATTACGTCGTTCCTCGCGTTCTCGACATCACTTGTTCGCGTTCTCTAACAATATTCCCTAAGCGTATCGGTTGTCACTCTTTAAATTCGTTTTCATTTCGTCTGTCCTCAGTTGCCATTGCAACCGGGCAACTCAACTCCGTGTTCGTGTTGCGGCCTTCCAATTTAGTCGGGGTGTTAGTCCAGGACTATAACGTCCAATTCCCTTCCTGTTCTCGTGATTGACGGATCCATTGCAGACAAAGGAAGAGAGCGGCTGCTCAAGGCTGCGTAGATACAGTTGTTGGCAGAACTCGTAAAATGCCACATTTGGCATCCTACACGTTTCATTCTCTTCCATATCTACGTGATGCAGACGAGCAAACAATAGAGGACTGCAACTCTGGTACAAGTAGGGTACAAATCGCGAATGACAGCTTTTATTATCTGGCATTCCCATTCCCATTGGTAGTGCAAATCTGGTATTTCTGCAGCACTCGTGAAACTGGATGGTGATTCCGTAACGTATAACTTTCTCACTGTATTATTTCCCTGTGAAAAACTCAATCAGAACCCAATCTAACTTAATGGAAAGTGCCATATGTATCCTGACGTCAATGCGATCACCGTCCCCTCATCTCTACTGGGCAAGTAATTGTTGGTGGGCAAGGTAAGCAATTTGCTCCTCTTCGTTGAATACCGTGCCCAATAGTGAGAGTCCAATTGTTGAATATGTGTCGAACATTATCTATATTATCTATTTATGACATATGGTACTGTAGATTGCTTGTTCATTTAGTCCTCCGAGAGTTTTGGGACTGAGCAAGAGGTGATTCATACGAATATCTCTTCAAATATTACTAGTGCAGACGTTGCGGAATCGTTATATCGGAATATGACTTAACGGTGAATTCCGCAAGTCCTTATTGGAACATTTCCTGAGCAATAAGATGGCAAGGTTTTCAATGTCGCACTCTTATTGCTCAGTCTTCTGTCGTGCTTATGCAGGTCACATCCGACTCATGGTCGCGTAAGTTGTGATATTGCCATTTGCAAATAAATGGGAAACCCCAAAAGTAAAACCAAAAACATAGCAAGAGCCAGAGGAATAAGGAAATAGCCAATAACAATCAGCAAGAAGGATATAACAAGCAATAAGTATTTGCAGGAAGATCAAGATGCTGCAATTAACGTTACTAAGTCTGGCAGGATGGGATAGCGTGGGAATCCAAAATGTATGGAGTCCCACGAACAACCATAAGTGATATTAGAGGATGGTTGAAATGTTTCAACATAAGAAGTTGAGAGTATGATAATTCCTTGAAATAAAATAATATCACCAGGAAAATTTACGACATATGTTAGAATTCCCCCCCCCCTTCCTTCCCTTTTAAACACGCCTTGAAGCCCCAACGAACAAAAAAGCCAAGAGAAAAGACAAAAGACGCCTCTAACTTGTCATGGGGAATCTCGGAGACGTCCTTCTTCGCTTTGTTCAGTTAAGATGCTGTTTTGTACTTTATACCTGAACTCCTGGTAAATCTGAACAAGGGAAGAACTATTATCCATCATTGCCAAAGCGTAAGGGCCTGAAAACTAATAGCTTCGCCCTTGAAGGTCGAAGGGAAATGGAAGAAGTAAGGGTTGCGGAATTCTCAGAATAGTGTTGCGGCGTCAGAACAAGGGGTACAGAATAGGCCGAATGCTCATCAGGAAGGATGATCACGAAAAATGTAACTCTCGTCATTCTAATTAGAGATATCCTTCCGCGCTTCGAGTCATCCGATTCGACTTTTCCTCAAGTTTCATCAATGCATAAGACAATATGGCTCAGTGCACACAGACGCCGTCAGCTCCAGTGAAACAAGGGAACAAATAGTTGGGTCCAAAGTCGTTGCGGAATTCACATGCTTGCCTACTATGGGGAAATGCCAGATATTGCAGTCGGTTTTTCACTTTTTTTTTCTATTCCGTCTATCCACAGTATCATAGCAACCGGACAACACGACCCAATGCGCACGCGCAGGTTTTCCGCCTGGGTCGGGGTGCCCTTCTTCCACGAAAACATCCACTTCCCTTCCAGCCCTGGCGGTTGACGGATCCATAGTAGACAATGGAGGAGAGCAGCTGCTCCCGGCCGCGTAGACAGGGCTGTTGGGCGTACGCATGAAATGCTGCATCTGGCATCCTACTATTTATTACTCTCACTCCATCTCCACGCGACGCGGACGTGCGAACCATGGAGAACATGGGATATAGCCATCGAGATTTCCCCCCCCCCCTTCCTCCCCTCCCCTCCCCCCAGGAGAAGAGTCAACCCCTAGCGTCCAAAAAGACGCGGAAACGGAAGGTATTTCCACTTTCTCAAGTAAAACTGAGGGTGGCATCCATTATCCATTATTATTCATGCATTCTGGCACGTTATGGCGCCCGTGGTAAATTTGCGCCTGAATTTGATTGGAATTTGATTTTGATGCGAATTTGATGTTGAAATGTTGAGACATCCACATTTAAATACGTTCTACCAATCGGCGCAAAATGGCACCTACGCGCCGATTTACCGATTCTCACCCTGGTGCTATTGGAATGAATTCCCTACATTTTTCACATAGTAACCGATCTTTCCGCACATACAACTCCTAGGAACTTGAAATTCCTAGATAGACCCGTTTAAGGAGGTAACCAGGCAGAAGGAGACTCCAAGTACTACTGGCCAGAGGGTCCGAGGAGACAGGTTCTATTTTCCTAAGTCTCTACATGACGTATATCTTTCGATAGGGATAGAATTGCTCTGCGATGAGGATGAGAATTGGTCTGCGGGGATGTGTTTGGTTTACTGTGGAATGTTGCTAGACATACAGTTTATCTGCTGGACAGAAAGGGTTGCGCCATCTAAGTACTCAACAAGAATTCCGATCCAGTGAAGGAAATTCAATCTCAGCGGGACTCCTCCGGGATGTTGGTACTCGATAGAGTACATAGAGATGCAATACTAACATCCCACCTGCAGATCCTTCCTTGGCCCTGCCTTGGGCTTCCTCCGTGGGATGACAGAACTTAATAGAGCACTACCATCAACCTAATACACATTCAATCTCGTCATCTAATCGATATTAGCGCTCGTTCAGACTCAGGAAATGGAGGAGGTACAGTAGTGCCCAAACTTTGACAATTCAACGCTGGCACACCGTATTTTCAACGTTGAACTGTTTCATTTCAACATTGCTTCAATATCGAGACAACATTTTGCACAACACTGAAGCAACATTGTTACATTGAAAAATCAACCTTTGTTCAATGTTGATACAACGTTGCTATGCCAAATGGGTTCGAATGCAATCGCATTCAGTTGGAAACTCCTACCAGACACGCAATCGCATGGTGCGTCCCTTTACGCCGATGGAACGTGAAGGAGAAGAAAACTGTTCGGTCGAATTCGTTTCTCTCCACCATGCCGTTGTCTATCGGTATAAAAAAAAAAAACTTATGAGGCACAAAAGAGATACGTTTTCCATCTTTCAATTTTCGTCTGTATCTCTGCAACAGCCTAATAGAGTACTTTGCAGCTAAGTTCCGGATGTCTGGAGCATTTAGATAATGCTTTTGAAAAAGGAAATTCGAAAGAGATTAAATTTCTTACTCATCCTAACGGATGAAATAGTACATGAATTACTTGTTAAAATAATTAAGTGAAATAGTTAGCTATAAATTTCTAATTGCGTTCTATTTGTGGCATAATTTCAAAATCAGTGTTAGGGTATTTTGTCAACTTACAACTGTTTTCAACAAATACTTTGAAAACAAAAACTTCATCAAGTCAATCGACTGAAAGCCCTGTTGTGTGAAAAAAATTTACAGAAATATGAAAAGGGAAACAATTCCATGAACGTTTTCAAAATTACGTCACAATAACTCGGTAACATTCACTAATGCAGCCGTTGTCGATGGTATTAAACCTTAGAAAATGTCACCACACCTTTCAAGATAAATTCTCCTCACACGAATGGGATCCCACAGGGAAGGTGGAATGGAAAGGATGATGGGATTAAATTCCCTGCGTCCAACTTCCCCGAAGAGATCAGACCGAATGAATTAGTGGATGTTATAGTGGATCTCTCTCGCACCATCTATGAACAGATCGACAACATCGCCCCTGTCAGGACCATCGAGTGGCCCATCGTGGAAGCGTCAGTTCGGATTCTCATCCCGCCTCCCTCGGCCGAGATTCCTTTCGAATGTTTAAACTCTTGCTTGACTGATTTTGCAGGAACATGAGCGTTCCTTCCATGGGTCTTCATTTCTCACTCGGGATAACCGTAAGGCTGACTCAATGCACTTTGTTCGGGCTTCATACTGGGACCCGCCATGTAAGTCCAGGTATGCCTTTTCATTGACCAGACAAAAGAGAATTTCACCTGTAACTGTATTCCATCCAAGGGAGAAGCTAGGGTCTGGAAAGAAGGAAGAACTATCGTTGGTGCTGCAACAGGCCTCGTTAGGTTCGGCCAATTAAACTGCACTCTAGAATTGCAATTCCCGTTCCTGAATTTCCATGAGAATATATTACTCGACGTGGACAATATGTCCCTTGATTTAGAGGTATAGTTTTATCAATCACTTTGTCATATTAAATATGTGTGCTGTGATTATAGAGAAACTTTCTTGAATTGTTAATTTTGTGCCTGAAGATCCGAGCCAACATCGAGCTGCCAAATTCGGTGGACGTGAAGATCGCGAAAGCAGAAATCCAGGATGTGGAGAGTATCAGAATTCGTCTGGGAGGCGTTGAAAGCAGCGTCAGCACATTCTTGAGCAAGGCGAGATCAACTTTTTGTCGCACCTGGATGAGTAGACAATTTTTTGCGGGTTCTGTCATCAGATGGATTCCGCACTTCGCAAACCGTATAATTGCATTTAAGTTTGTTTATAATTATTTTGCTTTGTAAGCGTATGGCGGATGGTGTGCCACACAAACAAATGCTTGTAGCCGTATTTGAAAGACTTCGTAATGTTTCAGATTTATTCTTGGGAATTGGACTTGATATTTTTGAAGCATGAGCTTTTGAAAGGTTACAAGGTATTCGGCGAATTCGGTGTGTGAACCAGAAATACGTGAGGTGATATTGACTACCACAGCTGGTATACAGCTGGAGGATGAGGATTACAAATATCGTACGAGGGGAGTTCAAAAAGTATTGCATCCTCCTCATGTTTTCTGTAATTATTGATTCTCCAAGAACATGAGGTATTTTTCATTAAGAATGGAATGCGGCTTTATTTTGATATTATTCCCCCCTTTCTCTGCGCAACATATAATTGGGGAGGAGTTTTTTTTTGGACCTAGTTATACTCACTGACCTCTGCTATTACTGAGTACCCGGTGCAGGTATCATGATGATATGAACAGATATGATACTTTACACTCTCCCTGAATATATACCGAGTCTGTTCGTGGTGACTTCTTGAACTTGTGTTAGGAATCTGTCCTTGAGATAACTACCAACTGCCGGTGGGCTGCTCGTTCCAGAAAAGGAATGAAGAACCTGGAAAGCCACCGCACGTCAAGGCATTCCCCAAGGTACGATCAGAGGGAACAGTGAGCTCGAGGTCATAGTTGAAGAGGATGCATGTGGAACTGCCGAGACCATTCGCCATCCTAACCTCTGAATGAGGAAGATTTGGGTTAGATGAGAGCCCAACATGCTCATTGATGCAAAGGAACAGGAACTGAGGGGAATTTGTTGTGAGAACATCACTCAAGTTGATAATACAGATTCAAAGCATTTTGCCAAAGCTATTCAATACAACTGATGACAGGACATGTATTTAGTTTTGTAGACCAGAGATCTCGTCAGGAAGCAAGCACACATGACTGGAATCGATTCACCATCAGTCACTCGAAGATGGCAGAAAATGATGTGTAGGGTGCTTCATGGCATTTTGTTCCTCTCTAAAATGCCTAATAATTCACGTTCCATCTCCAAAAGGAATACTCGTTGCATGACGATTCTAGGTTTGAATAGGAGGTTTATTATGAGAAGTTGAAAAGGTAACCAGAGAGAGATGAGCGAAGTCTGCATGAAAAGGGTTAAAGCTTCTGCCTGGCAATAGCCCAAGTTACAAGTCAAAAGATTTTTCAATCACTAGTGACGGGCATAGTGAGGCGATGCAAATCCCCCCCCCCCCCTCCTGAAAATCAGAATGATATGGAAGATGAAAATTTCCAGTGGGATTCCTGTCTGGGCTGTGAGCATGGCCGGACGTGTTTNAGATAATGCTTTTGAAAAAGGAAATTCGAAAGAGATTAAATTTCTTACTCATCCTAACGGATGAAATAGTACATGAATTACTTGTTAAAATAATTAAGTGAAATAGTTAGCTATAAATTTCTAATTGCGTTCTATTTGTGGCATAATTTCAAAATCAGTGTTAGGGTATTTTGTCAACTTACAACTGTTTTCAACAAATACTTTGAAAACAAAAACTTCATCAAGTCAATCGACTGAAAGCCCTGTTGTGTGAAAAAAATTTACAGAAATATGAAAAGGGAAACAATTCCATGAACGTTTTCAAAATTACGTCACAATAACTCGGTAACATTCACTAATGCAGCCGTTGTCGATGGTATTAAACCTTAGAAAATGTCACCACACCTTTCAAGATAAATTCTCCTCACACGAATGGGATCCCACAGGGAAGGTGGAATGGAAAGGATGATGGGATTAAATTCCCTGCGTCCAACTTCCCCGAAGAGATCAGACCGAATGAATTAGTGGATGTTATAGTGGATCTCTCTCGCACCATCTATGAACAGATCGACAACATCGCCCCTGTCAGGACCATCGAGTGGCCCATCGTGGAAGCGTCAGTTCGGATTCTCATCCCGCCTCCCTCGGCCGAGATTCCTTTCGAATGTTTAAACTCTTGCTTGACTGATTTCGCAGGAACATGAGCGTTCCTTCCATGGGTCTTCATTTCTCACTCGGGATAGCCGTGAGGCTGACTCAATGCACTTTGTTCGGGCTTCATACTGGGACCCGCCATGTAAGTCCAGGTATGCCTTTTCATTGGCCAGACAAAAGAGAATTTCACCTTCAACTCTATTCCATCCAAGGGAGAAGCTAGGGTCTGGAAAGAAGGAAGAACTATCGTTGGTGCTGCAACAGGCCTCATTAGGTCCGGCCAATTAAACTGCACTCTAGAATTGCAATTCCCGTTCCTGAATTTCCATGAGAACATATTATTAGACATTGACAATATGTCCCTTGATTTAGAGGTATAGTTTTGTCAATCACTTTGTCATATTAAATATGTGTGCTGTGATTAAAGAGAAACTTTCTTGAATTGTTAATTTTGTGCCTGAAGATCCGAGCCAACATTGAACTGCCAAATTCGGTGGACGTGAAGATCGCGAAAGCAGAAATCCAGGGTATGGAGAGTATCAGAATTCGTCTGGGAGGCGTTGAAAGCAGCGTCAGCACATTCTTGACCAAGGCGAGATCAACTTTTTGTCGCACCTGGATGAGTAGATAATTTTTTTTGCGGGTTCTGTCATCAGATGGATTCCGCACTTCGCAAACCGTATAATTGCATTTTAAGTTTGTTTATAATTATTTTGCTTTGTAAGCGCATGGCGGATGGTGTGCCACACGAACAAATGCTTGTAACCATATTTGAAAGACTTCGTAATGTTTCAGATTTATTCGTGGGAATTGGATTTGATATTTTTGAAGCATGAGCTTTTGAAAGGTTACAAGGTATTCGGCGAATTCGGTGTGTGAACCAGAAATACGTGAGATGATATTGACTGCCACAGCTGGTATACAGCTGGAGGATGAGGATTACAAATATGGTACGAGGGGCGTTCAAAAAGTATTGCATCCTCCTCATGTTTTCTGTAATTATTGATTCTAAAAGAACATGAGGTATTTTTCATTAAGAATGGAATGTGGCTTTATTTTGATATTATTCCCTCCTTTCTCTGCGCACCAAATAATTGGGGAGGAATATTTTTTTTGGACCTAGTTATACTCACTGACCTCTGCTATTACTCCCGGGTGCAGGTATCATGATGATATGAACAGATACGATACTTTGCACTCTCCTTGAATATATATCGAGTCTGTTCGTGGTGACTTCTTGAACTTGTGCTAGGAATCTGTCCTTGAGATAACTACCAACTGCCTGTGGGCTGCTCGCTCCAGAAAAGGAATGAAGAACCTGAAAAGCGACCGCACGTCAAGGCATTCCCCAAGGTACGATCAGAGGGAACAGTGAGCTCGAGGTCATAGTTGAAGAGGATGCATGTGGAACTGCCGAGACCATTCGCCATTCTAACCTCTGAATGAGGAAGATTTGTGTTAGATGAGAGCCCAACATACTCACTGATGCAAAGGAACAGGAACTGAGGGAAATTTGTCGTGAGAACATCACTCAAGTTGAAAATACAGATTCAAAGCATTTTGCCTAAGCTATTCAAAACAACTGATGACAGAACATGTATTCAGTTTTATAGACCAGAGATCTCGTCAGGAAGCAAGCACACATGACTGGAATCGATTCACGACCAGTCACTCGAAGATGGCAGAGAATGATGTGTAGGGTGCTTCATGGCATTTTGTTCCTCTCTAAAATACCTAATAATTCACGTTCCATCTCCAAAAGGAATACTCATTGCATGACGATTCTAGGTTTGAATAGTAGGTTTATTATGAGAAGTTGAAAAGGTAACCAGAGAGAGATGAGCGAAGTCTGCATGAAAAGGGTTAAAGCTTCTGCCTGGCAATAGCCCAAGTTACAAGTCAGAAGATTTTTCAATCACTAGTGACGGGCATAGTGAGGCGATGCACTCCCCCCCCCCCCTCCTGAAAATCAGAATGGTAACCGGAAGGTGAAAATTTCCAGTGCTCTAAAGCCCACCTATATAGGACTATTCAAAATCCAATCATTCTTAGATTTCGATGATTAAATTCTGCATGGAGATAGAGCAGGAGTACGTCGAATGAGTGGTGTGACGATGAGATCGTAATATTATCTCATTCGCGAAAAATGAATAATAAGGCAATACTTATTGGATGCCCCTTGAATATCTAGTAAAAGTATCACGATGACGTCAAACAACAAAATTATGCCACAAAAACTGCGACGTATCAAATCGTGGCATTCTTACCAGCTGGCTCGCAAAAACCTGTTAGTCATTAGTCGATATTGGGGCCTCCAACATTCAGTCTCATGGCGAACTTGTCAGTGAAGAGACTTATGTACCTGTGATATCACCTGACTGGTTATATATATATAAGAGAAGTTATGTAAGAGAAGTTATGTGGTGCCGAAATTGTTTGAAACAACCCAAAGGGCAACAGAAAATGCCGAACCTTTGGACCCAGAAGCGCGGGACTTAGAGATGAGAGTCTGAATTATTAGAGACAGCCTGCAGATATGGGGCAATGATAAAGGCAGTTAAAAAGAGAAGGGACAGCAAAGGATCCTATCCTAGAAATTTGTCAGGCAGCCTGCGTCGTCAGGGGGTTGAGGATGAAGATAGAAACAGGTACTTCCTGGATTTATTGACATTTGTAAATTCAAGCTCAAAATCAACTCCTTGGAAAAACGAGTGAAACATATTAAGGCCTTTATCATTGTTCCGTTTCTCAGTAAATGCCTTGATTCTTTTAAACTGACTGACATTCTAGGTAGTTCAGAGGCCAGAAGCAAATTTCCTATTAAAGATACTTATCCCAGAGTCTCCTACAGCCTACAGAAGCCTTTTAGTAGGCTTGTTTGTAATTATAGGCCATTTGTCCAAGATCTTGACTTGACATCACTTGACGGCTTAACTTGCACGTGTGAAGATGACAGGTATAGGAGCTATGTTGAGAGGCATCATAGGCAAATTTTTACTGGCAACAGAGGCATTATCGAAAATATTAAACTCTAGGCTCTCTTTGGAAAAGGCAATAAATATAGAATTAACAGGAAATTAAATAAGGAGGAATCACTTTACAATTTGTGATGGCTTTAGCAAGTTTGTAGATGTAAATAGTAGAGGAAGTACTTAATTCCCCAGAAGCAATCCCGGCTTAAGTCCATCTACCAGTGTCACAATTAAACAATCGATTAGCTCGACCAGCCTCACAGCTGAAATGCATGGTAGACACAAGCCTAGAACGGAATGAAGCTTGAGCATGGCTTTGGAGAGTTCAAGTCTATGAAGGAAAAGCGAAAAAGTGGGAAGGCTAAGCGTAAAACAAGCCTATCAAAGATAAGTGTAGCCTGGGGAAAGGCACTACCATGGATTCAGCTAATTGTGGCCTGCACTGACAGATTGGAACGATGCCCAGATGGCTCCTGCTACCTTCAAGCCCTGACCTCGAGGCACATTAGGCCAATAACACTCGACCCAACCCTGACAAACTGGATAAGTGGTGTCTGGGATAAAATATAAAAACGGTATGGGAAAAAGCCCAATCACTGGAACCTGTTCTAATGCACTGGGTCTGTGTTGCAGTCACGTCCGTGCTGCAAGAGCCGCACATCCGAGCTGTATACAAAGTTTCTGGAGCCTGATGAAAATAGTTCACAGCCATATTGCAGAAAAATCGCTCCCTTCGGGAGCAAATTTAATTAGGTCATACTTGCAATGCTGAGCAAACAGGTTAAAAAGTTTCCGTATAAAATTCTGATACCCATTGCCAAGTAACCTTTGGTACAAGAGATCACAGTTCTAATGAAATCCAGCCACATTGGAACAGATTAGAGCGAATCTTTTCAGCTGAGAATTAACAACATTCTTGATTATATGCCCTGGGATGTTACTTTTAGCATTTGGTAAGCTAAGAAATTCAAATTCAAAATCCCTTCTTTTATCATAAATATCAGTGACAAAGCAATTACAGATGTCATGGATTATCACATTCATATCTAAATAATGTAGCAAACAAATTTCTGTGTTTCTCCAACAGAAAATGGTAGAGCGCTTTTTTTAACCACCCTATGCTTATTTTTTTTTTAAATATTGGCGTTCGGAAAGTTCGCCCCCGAAAATCTTTAAGAGCTCCCCCAAAAGGATTCTGCCCAAAATATTTTATTCAACATTGAAGGCAGCATTCCGAGAACTACTAGTATACTTTACTTCATATTTCCATGATTTCTGGAACATCGAATTAGCATGAGTAAGTCGGTCCCGATCTTTTGTATGCATTGTATTCGGTGCGAGAATACCACATAAATAATTACGTAGGAGTTGCTCGATTGACGTGGAATGAAAGGACCTTTCACTCATGCATTCTTCGCGAAAGTTCCTTTTGTTCCAACAGTAAATGAGCTTGAAGCTCATTCGCCGTCGGAGCCGGTAGCATCGAGGCATGGCATGCCATGAATGAAGAATGAGACTTCGCGGTGGAAGGCGGCACAACGGCTGACATCTCCAAACATTAACCGCAGAGATGTGAGTCACCTGTCGGTTGAGGAAGGAGCCAGTTCGTGGTGTAGCTTCGCATCGTCAACAGTGACTCACTCGTGTTCCCTTCCTTTTCCAGCATTATAATACAATTTCGCTTTTTTTCTGGCGTTAGTCACATCCGCAGTACCCCATAGATAAGCTTCTCATGCAAAAATTATCCAGATGACAATAGTGGAGAAATAATACACGGCTCCTGCACATGCATCGAGTAAATTGCAAAACTCCTGCATATTGCTTGCAGTCGACATGCTTTCTCGAATTTCAGGTTCCTGAGTGCTTCATAACCAGCACGTAGAATTTCCCCCTGGAGGTCACCGAAAAATAATTGAAAATCATATGGAGATCACATTCACCGTCCGAAATATCCTGAAGACTTCGGTCATTTTGTTGTCACTAGCACTGGCAGTGATCCAGGTGAGTTAGACACAGACGCCCCCAGTTTTTTTAATTTAATTTCTTTCATCTTATTGTTGGCCTGTCCATTTCAGGTGTGCGAGGTGATCCAGCAGTACTACTCCCAGCCAACGAGTACCTTGTACACCAACAGGAAAACTTTTTTCATGCTTCCTCCTGCTTTCACCATCTGCCCCAGACCATCTCTCGTCTCCAGCTGGATGACGGATCTGGATCGCTCGTACGAAGGATTGAAGCCTGGGGATTTCTGGAGCAGGGTGAGGCAGGCCAAAAACATGACCGCTGCACAGGTTTTCCTTCGATGGATGTTCCCGTCAAACCCCGGTCATTGGAAAGCCATCATCCCTTTCGCCCAGATTGGCGAATTCGTTCCCGAAGACGAGGTCAACATGACGATGAGAAACGGGGAAGTGTTTGAAAAATTCCAGAATGGTTAGTCCACGAAGCGTGGAGTTTTCAACAAAATTAACCGTGCCATTGAAAGAATCTCGTCTCTTGCCTTGTAGGTTTGGGAGCTCGTATTTATCGAGCCTTTTACACGTACATCGACTCCCAAGACTCGTTCAGGGGAGATTTCTTCAAATGCCACAGTCTTTTCCTGAATCAAGATATCTTCCAAATTTTTTCAATGAAGAATCTACACTGTAAATTCCTTAGATTCGAGTTCGCCCTTGGGAATGTGACTGACATGATGCAACCTGTAAGCGCATGGAAGTTGTCGTAGACAGCTCGTGTGCTCATGATGTTCATTATGATTTCACAAGTGTATTTATTTCCTGTCGCGTAGATTCCCCCACATGTCGACGTCTACATCCACGATCTTCGCGAGTCCTACACAAACTTGGGTTTCTTCCACGGAGTCCAGATAAGTGTGGTGAACGGGTCAGTTGTCAGCGTGGCCATTCGTCCACACCGCACATTGCTGGTCAATAGGAAGGACCAGCCTTGCTCTTCGAGCAGGACCTACAGCTATAGCACGGTTAGCAGATTTCAGACCCTCACTCCATTCATTCGCTGGTTGAAGAATGATTTTTTTCCCGAAACAGTGCATGGAGAGGTGCTTCTGGAATGTGATCCAGACCTCACCAGATGTTCCTTGTTTGTCACCACTGCTTCTGCCCAGAAGCATCAACGCCACCAAGCCGGATTGCAGAACCGCGTCCGAGGAGGACGAGCAACTGAGGATCGTCTTCGAGGAGAAACTGAGACTCTTTAGAGGCGAGACATGCAACTGCCCCAAGAATTGCCACATCAAGAACTACCGCGTCGCCAACGATCCAAACGCGCACGTCTGCAGGGAGGCGGTGCAGTCGCCGCATATGTGGCCCCTCGCGGAAGGGACGACGGCGACGCTTATTTTTTCGTTTCCATCGTCTCGAGTAAGTACTTCTTGGTTTTACTCTTACATTTTGAGATACTACGGAATATTTTGACATCTTCAGTAACTTTTACGACATTAGATGCCGCAGGTCGCCGAAAGGCTGGCATTGTCAGTGGGTGATCTGTTGTCGACCGTCGGCGGTATCGTCGGCATCTGCCTCGGCGCTTCGATCCTCTCTCTCTTCGACATCCTGGAGCAAGCTTGCCTCTACTCCTTCAAAATTGTCCACAGAAAAATTCGGCAAACGACAATAGGTTCCAAGAGATGACGTGCTTCAAGCGGGCATCACATCCTATAATTCCCTGCATGTGTAATCGAATGTGTTATGCCAAATCTGGATTTCTGTCGATGTGAGACGGAACTTTCTCATTCTAACTTTGGTGCGATAGAAAATGTCCTTTCGTAACAAACATTAAGAAAGTCACTCGGCACTCCCACAGAAAATGTAAGCATTCATCACGAAACATAACGCAAACACTATAATTACTATGTTCTCAGCACACGAGAAGATAAATTGAAATTGTCCATATTCAATCGAAATTTGGTCTAAAATCGAAATTGAACTTTAAATTGAAAAAATAAAAATATATTGGACTTTTCAGTTTCCACATACGCCTAAAAACAGCAACTAAAAAATGTATTGTACCTCTATATGAGTGTCTCTTTTGTGGTCAACCTTGGCTGTTTTAGCATGAATTCTTCTCCGCCTAGAAATGAATTGAGGTTCAAAAAAATTATCTAGCAGACCATGAGACAGAAATTATGACAGAATACGAATGACCACCATACAACTCTGGTCGTAACCAAACCGATTACTATATGCGAAGTCTGCTGGTAGGAAGTGTCCATAAACGAAATCCGGCGACTTGAACAAGTCAAGGTTGGTGCCGAAAGATGAGTGAAACCATGTCCGTCCGGTGCGATCGACTGATTGCCTCCAAGATTCCAGGTTGCCGTGAAGAGGAACTGGGACGATTTAGTGCAAATATTAGGTTCGAAAGAAAGTCTTGCAACACTCTGCGCAAATTTGTCAAAATTTTATAACGTTATTGAAATGCAATTTCAGTCTACAATGTATCTGATTGGAAAGAAAGTTCTCGGAATTTCATGAACAATTATTACGACCCAGTTTATTTAAAAGCAAAATCATCTCATTTGGGTATTTGCTATTTAAGCCAACCTTTTTACCTTACCTTACCTTACCTATGTAACACCAGCTGTCTGGTACTGTCAGTGTCTTTCATTGCGTCCAGCAGTCTATGGTATTCATGGCTTTATAAGTTTACTGTGGTGCCATATTTGGTTTTGGCTATTTTGCGATAGTGGGAGGTTGGTTGGCTTTGGTTTGGTGGAGGATTGATAGCATTCAGAGTCTTCTCATCTCTCCTTGATATACTGTACGCTTGCTTTCTCATGTGTATTTTATTTCTTAGGCTAGTTTTGAATGGTACATCTTTTTCCGTACTTTCGATGGTTGGCTTCCCTTGTCAGTATTTACACTATAGCCTTCAGATGTAACAGTATACGTTGCCGCACCTGTCCCTGTATGGTAGAAGGAAGAATCCTAACCCTTTCGCAACCCTTTTGTAAAACTAGTCACGTAATCTCTGCGCAATCGGTTCTTACTTTCTTGACGCGCCTCGTATATGATACTAGAATGAGCCCAGCTACTGAATAAACAATACAGTCGACAGAATAACCTCAATTTTTCGTTTGTTCCAGTCGCACTGACTGCCATGTACTTCAGCATTTCTGGCAGGAACGCAAAAAGGCGTTATTTACTCCACTCGAACGACCATTGAACCTCTGACTTAAATGCATCATACACATGCATTTACATGAGAACCCCCGGCCTCTCTACAGGACACACTAACGTTAGGCCTAGGCCTAACCAACAGAATACCTTAAGGTCACGCCAAGACCTACCTTATTCTTTTCAAAATAAACTCAATTCTCGACTTACGGCACCAATTATGCCTATAAGGGTGAATCGTGATCTTCGAGACATCTTGAGGTTCAGGACGTGCAACGATATGCCAATCGCAGGCCTATTCATACGTTCATGAACCATTTCAGAGTGGACGTGTAACGTTAGACCTATTAGAGGCCTGTTTCGCGTTTCATGAACCATTTCAGTGGGACGTGGAACATCAGGCCGATCTGGAGTTCCTCGAACCATCTCGAATATGGCTAAGGAGAGAATGCCCTCAATAAGCATGGAATCCATGGTACGCGCCATCCTGTTAATTCAGGAATGTCCGGATAACACATCTGCATATCCCACCACATCGATAAATCACTGCTAACCACAGCTTCATTCTCATCTCATCTCATGAACTCAGCACAAAAATGTCTCATACATCAAAAAACAGAAGCGCCAATCGCCAATACGAAGGTTGAAACAGTCTTGAATATGGCATAATTTCGGCACGGTATTCGACAACACTGGGGGACGGTAGCTAAGCAAACACTCTAAGCCTAATTGAACGACATCTAATTTCATTTTTCATGTCGAAATGGAGCATCGCAAATAGCAAAAAAGCCACGTTTTCCTCATCTACGAGTCAATATATTTCTTATGGTTGGTCTCTTTCCTCGGAAACACCCCCAGGAGTGGGGGGGAGAAAAAAAAACGGGATGAAATTCACATCCTCCAAAAACGAGATTCAGCGTTCTCCACAACTCCTGTGAGATGGAGCTCCAAATTTGCTTGTGCGATTCTGTGGTGAGAGAAGAAGTATGCCAAATTTCGTTGCTGTTGATGCTCTCAATGAGGAATACGAGGAAGTTGAATGTTGGGTTGGAGAAAGATAATAAATAATATCTGCTTTGATACTCTTTCTTCCCCACTGAAAATTTTTTTTAATAGTTGATTTCATATACAAGGTTGTTATAAGTGATTACCCTATTTTAATTGCCAATAAGTTTCAAGCCCATGAACGTCTACTCAAACATCAGCTACATCTGAAAATTCTTTAAAAAGTTTTGGCCAAACAAAGAAGAATGGTTACAAGTTCATCCATCAAGTACCATACAACTTTTTTTTTTACCATGTCTTGAAAACATGCTTTTGAGACAGATGATTTTAGCTAGTGACGCTTGCGAGCATGAAAGTCATTTTTACTAAATTTCCACTAAATGCATTTTCTTCTCGGAACGTGTCGAGACAGTTCGAGGAACTCTAGATAGGCCTGGGACGTCATTCCGGAGGGGGGGGGGGCAAGAGGGGGCAACTGTCCCCCCCTTGTGTCTTGGAGCGATTTTTAAATTTTAATCTTCATTCCCTGACCCCGTTTTAACTATACCTTTGACAACTGCTCGAGCCGGGACACTCTTCTCCACCACGAAGAGAGTAAAAAAAACCCATGAAGAGACTCTTGAAGGAGGAAAGAAGGGGAAAAAAAAGGGCGAATTGGGGGGGATGGAGCCGCTGTCTCATGACTCGTGGGTTCCCATGAGCTGAAAGATCCTTCCAAATCTTCTTACGAAAGGCGAAGCTCTTTTTATTCCGTTGCTCTGTCTCTTATCATCGAGATATATCATTCCAGTCGGCACGAAGTAGACAAGGAATCGTACGGAACGAAACTTGCAGAATTGGGGATATCCATTCATTGCGTAATAATCGATTGAAAGGACACTAAAGGTCGGTGGACAACTTAGTCACAACCGTGCCTTCACCAATAAGCATTTCCTACGTTAAACTCAACAATTCCTACATCCAACGATGATCTGATAGTGTAGAGAGAAAAATAATTTGAATGTTACTTATTTTTCTCCTCTTAAGGAATTCGCGTCTAAACTCATAATCTCCAGTCGATCTTAGTTCATTCATTAGTTGGATTGTGTCTGGTTTGGGAACTTTGGAGCTCCTCCAGTACAAGCAAATCAGAAAATACTGAAAACTTTATTCGGAACCTAGTAAGCGAAAAAGAAACTAAGAAACGTATTCCAATCAACTGCATTTGCTTTGCGAACCACTGATTAAAAATACGAAATATTATAATGCAAACACATATGCGCTTCCTGATTCATTAGAGAATTTCTTCGCTGACTTGCCTATTCGCTCAGCGAGTTTACGACTTGCATTTCCCCATAAATATTGTTCGTTCTTGCGAACTTGTTGAAAGAAACGGCCGTCCCAATTACCGAGCGAGCGCGGAGAGTTGATCGGGACCAACATGCCTGTGAGATCTACGGAACCTTTTAAGAGTAATTTTCCTGGCAAAGGGAACCCATGTCATAAATTTGAGTATCCAAGTGTTTTTATATTCCCTAAAATTCGAAGGGTTTTATGAACTGGTCTGAACGTTTTCCTGCAATTTTTCCACAAAGTGAAATATTGCATCGAATAATAAATGACGTTTGGAATTCATTATTTAACTGACATAGGGATTTCGCTGCGGTATCAACACAGCCTTTTCTTCATACGTGAGAAACCCTGGCAGGGCCTCTCGGGGGCATTGTGCAGGTCGATCGATGCCTCATCCATTAATCAACCTTTATTACTGTGAGAAAAGGACTTCGAGCATTGTTTCAAAATGCCACGGAGGTGATGGGTATTGTCTTGAAGAAGAGGAAAGAGCAGGTTGGAGGTGGAACAATATCAACAGTCTTTGGCGATTTCCAGTGAGGCCTAACCAAAGGGCAGAGCTTTGCCAGGTTGCAAGGTGCAGTTGCGGGGTGGTCCCCTGTGACCCAGCATTGCGTTCTTCTGGTTTACTGAATCTTGAAGGCAGTGAACAATGATAGATAAACTGGGCACCAAACAGTTGCAAATGAGACCAGAAAAAATCTGCAGCCATGCACGGTATGAAATGCCATAAATCGAATACCCGACGAACTATATAGGGTGGTTTAAAAAAAGTTATACCGTTTTCTATGGGAGAAGCACAGTTTCATAAATGCAGCAAACAAATTATATTGGACAGGGTAACTTGGGGGAATATGGCCATTGGGGTAATATGGCCCCTAATAATGAATCCCTTAACAGAATGAATAATTAACTTGAGCGAATTTTGAAAGTAGTTCTATCGAAGAGTGCATGCAATTGTCTAAATATGTGGACCTGTTCATTGATCCAGTTCTCACTGGAATTCGGGATATATAGGATTTTTCTAGTCATATGCATGCGATTCTTCTACTCACGGCCCTGAAACTAATATGGGCCTTATGCCACTTAAGCGTATATTTCCTAATAGCAGCATTGATACAAAAACCATTTGTTCAAAGCTATGCTATGGTTCCTTCTGAATGTTTGCGGAAAGTGCT